ACAATTGTGGCAGGGGAACTCGACAAGACAAGGACTCGCACGCAGCAGCACTTGTCCGTGCCGCTTAAAACTTTTAGATACACAGTTTGTCATCTGGGGCAGATTATGCTGGAATGGCGCAGACACAGCATCTCTGTGTAAGTGCGTGAAGGGGCATTCGCTATCGCCACCGGCCAAGGCTACTCAAGAAGTTTAAGCGTGCTAAAATGAGAGAATATTGTTCACCTTGACAGCTTTTTCATCCCTGCTGCTAGGGAGCGACTTATGAATCTTTTGGCGATATCAAAGCCCTTTACTCTGGCTCAAACAGGGTCCCAGTGATGTACATTATAAAAAGCAAACTCGTGGGCTTCTCCGTTTGCAAAGTCTACAAAACATGGGGATTTTGTCATTGAGTCAAGGTAATACAATTCAATCTACAGCTTACCAGATCAGCATGTAAACTCCGTACCCATCCTCGCTGTTTGCTCCTACATTCAGTACACACACATTGTGATTTTCCATGCCCTCATTTATCCAGGGGAATTGTTTCGCTGAAGGTGGAAGAAGGTCTAACAAAGAGCTTAGATTGGTCAAACAATGACAAAACCCCCTGCACATCTCTCATTCTCTCTTTTTTTGGAGCGTTTGCTTGACAGGAAAAAAAAACGCCCGGGCTGAAGGACACTTTGTCAATAAGTAATACCCACGCTGTATTAGCTGCATATTTAGCCATGAGAATTCATCTAAATTGCTTTCAGACAAAATCCTTTAGCGAAGCGTACTTCAGAATGTAACGGCGCATCTTCGTGTGACATTCAGCTGGGAATGTGAACTTCGGGCTTGTTCAGAGCAAGGACAGTCAGTTTGAGTCCTGTGCCATGTTGCGGAGGCGTTTATTCAGCATTTCAATAGCCCTTTCCAGATCAAATCAGAGAGGAGCTGCAAAGAGATTATTCTTGAGACCTGTTCCAACTTCACTTTGCACAGTGATTACTTGGAAATGTTCTGCGGATGGTTTTTTGGCATAATATTCTCTTGTTCGGTAATAACAAAGCTTCTCTAGAAACACTCAAGGACTCCCAGCGGTGTGCGGTATAGTATAGGGGAGCTATCATACACACACACGCGCACACTTTTTCTAGGTATTTAAAATTAACAGCAGGGGGTGTAAAGCAACTGACGGTGAGAGACAGAGCGAGAGAAAAAGAGATAAAGACAGGAATTGACTTTTTGCCGTCCCCCAGCGTTCACCCTCTTCTCGTGTTCATTACAACACCATTATCATTTTGATGTTTTCCCCTCCTTTCCAACATACTGTCGGTTTCGTTCTTTAATGTGGTCATTCGGCTACAAGAATTTTTCAACGAAGAGACGTCCATGTCATTACCTTCAATAAGGGTCATTTCCTATAAGGAAAAGGGAGAGATGGGAATGTTATATGGAGTGACTGGTGAACACTACATAAACATAGACCCACTTCCCAGCTCCCAATCCAAGAAATTACACCGTATGTGTGTGAAATATCCAATGCATGCAGGAAAACACAGGCTTGGACATGAGCTGTGCTTGTTTGTATGACCTGATGTCTCATTCGGCCCTGCTAGAGGCCTCATTATACCTCACTGCTGGTCGTTGGGAGCATGGCATTCAGTCTGACACTGGAGCTGAAGGAGGAGGAAGTCGGGGCTGTTTAGGAACTCGTTCTCATTAAGAGCTGTGTGTGTCACTAGGGAGACTTTCTGCTCCTAACAGCCTCCAAAAGTAGCTGCGCTTCAACAACGGCCACAGAATGTCTCCATCTGCAGGGAGAACTCCTCCGTCCATCTTTCTTTGCCTGTCCGCATTGTCCGTCCTTCACTCTTTTTTTGTAAACTCCTGTCACCAATCTGTGCGCTATGTGGTCTGTGTTTGCTTAAACAGTCAGATATGTTTAGCCTGGACAACGACAGGAACAGTGAAAGCAATAGCGCTACTGACAGTAACAAGTTCCTCATCCTGTGAGGATGCAAAATTTGGAGTGAGCTGCTACAGTCACGAATATGTCAGATTTGGCTAATGCTCCTGGAGCCAATATTTCCTGAGTGCATGTTCAACACAAACAGCAGCTCTTGAGGGACAGGTAATCACGGATGTTAGAAAGTTCTATCTTCCAACCCATCAGAAATTAATTATGATTAGGGATTAAAATAAACATGAAACAACAATAGTAACCTATTTTATGTTAGTAATGTCATGCATTTCTTAAATAAAAGAGGATATTAAATGAGAATTTTTTAGTTTATCTATCAGGAATTGATTGGATTGCAAGAAGTGGTTTCAATATTCCAAAAATAAAATGATCAAATTGAACCACTTATGTAACACTTTATAGTAAAGATCAATACTTTAATGTTGCGATGAAGTAATGTTATATATATTAAAACTGTAAAGTTGTATAACATAATGATTAATTTATTATGAACAAACATGAATTAACAATGAATAAAGTAATTGTGTTCATTGTTATCAAAGCATTTTTGTTCCTTTTAAATAGTTGAAATAATAAATATTAATATTAGATGAAAAACTCAAACTTTTAAATTAAAAATACTGCTTTGACAACTAATTGAAAAAATAAGCTGAAGAACTCAAATTAATAAGACAAAAATAAATAAATAAAGCTTAACAAATATATAAAAAATAATAATAATAAAATAAAATTACAAAAGTGCATAAAATTACTAAAACTTGAAGTCAATTTTAAACAAAATATATATTTTATTAAAATATTAATAAACACTATAACAGCAGGTAAATAATACTAAAATCATTTGTGTATATCTTATACCTTAGTGTTAAAAAAATGTAAACACTATTGTAAAGTGTTACCAATGTTCATAAGAAAACCAGAAAGTGAAAACCAGAAGAAAACCAGAATAGCTTTAATTTTGATTTCATGTTGGCTCCAATATTTTGAAACAATTTTGAAACCAGCAGTGGTGCTCACATGGCCAAGTTCAGCTCTTTTGGCATTAGACACTGACTGATCCTGTTCCTTTCTTCATTCCACATCACTTCCTGTCCTCGCTCTATTCATGATCTTCTGTTCACATGTGATAGTTTATTTGATTTGAAACAGATAGCTGTCGCTCAAGTTCTCTTAGTGAACCGCCCATGACTTTTCTTTGAGACCGGTTAGTTTGCATCAGCATGGGGTCAGATTATTTTCCTCTACAGTGGCATGATTCTAAAAAAAAGAACTATAGAGACTTACTGGGGAGGGTGAAACAATCTTTAAAAACAGTTGGGAAACTTTATAACTCTTTGCAAGTTGAGAGAAAGGGAGCACGGAGGCTTTGACAGAAAGCACAGAGGGACAGCCACACTGCTGGCTTCCCAACACGGAGGACGCACAAATGAAATGGAGAGAGAGAAGAAGCATCAACCTCTCTGCACAATCACTTCTTCAACTACAACGCAGTCAAGCACGGCACAAAGAAAACACATCTGCATTCCCCGGATCAAACCGCACTTTCAACTATTATCGTAAATAAACGTATATGTGCAAGACATCCGCGGCTTCCTCTCTCATAAGTTATAGCAGTTTTGAAATGGAAATGAATCTGAAATATTTTGAAAGGTCATGGCATGCATCATCCCAAGTCATCTGTAGCAGTATGTGCCTTCTCCATCATGATAAAGAATTTAAGGCAGGTCTAGAAAATGAAAGAAAAGTTTGACTTTTGTAAGCTAGTGAAAAAAAGCTTTCACAGTCTAGCCTTCTTCAAACCATTATAGGCAAAGAAATGCAATGATATATTAACCTATGGTAACAAGACTTGTCAGCTATTCCTTTAACAAGAATTTTAAACCCTTAATACATCATGTAATGGTATTCCTTCAGAAATTCAGAACAGCTCAATACAAATCTCATCTCTGTAAATTTGGCAGAGTCCACAGTAAATCAGATAGCAACTTACAATATGTTAACTTACCCACTTGAGACCAGATCTACGATTTTAAAGAAATGAAAACCGAGCTGGTGCATGTTCAAGTGGTGTTATACTTTAGCAGAGAGCGAGACGGTAGGAGGTTGTGTCAGACTTTTGGTGTGCTGTGGAATCGGTCCAAACAGGCTTCCCTAATCTCTGCTGAGTGTGTTTGTTTGTCTCTGAATGTCAGAACGCCTTCGGGCCAGGAAGACAAAGTTCAAAGCAATGCAGATACACTTTGTATACGAGTCCAACTGTTAGATAAAACTGACACAGATTTACAGAGCAAATCCAAATATTGCAATATGGCAGTCAACAAAGCGGTATATTTCATGTGAAAATACCAACTTTTTTTTTTTTTGGTGGACAACTGATTATAAACATACAAACTTTTACAAAATTATTGTTATAAGAAAATTATAATCTCATGAATTCTCATATAATGTAATAATATAATATAATATAATAAATATAGTATAGTAAAGTATATAAATGAGAATCATTATATATATATACAGCTGAACACCTCTGGTGTGACTTTAAATCACCAAACATCAATGACTTGTACATATGGGTACAGTCAATTTAGACTCTTCCAAAACTGTTGCAACAGAGATGGAAATACAATTTTTAAATACATGAATTACCTTTCCAACGTTGTTGCCACAGTTTTGGAATTGCTTTTATCTGTTCTAAAGAAGGGGGTGTCCCAATACTTTTGTTCATATTGTGTATGTATAAGTCATTGGTGTTTGGTGATGAGCTTTTTGCTCAAGGTCTTTTAAAGTCAAATATTATATTATATCATATCATATCATAGTTGTATGTTGACTGCAGTGTTGAATGTTGATGTACTTCTGTCGAGCCGAAAATCTAGAAACTCCTACTTAGATCTGTGCTTAACTACAATTAATAATCAAAGTTTGCTGTAAAACAAGCATGAGGTAACAAACAATAGCATCCAATAAACAACACATTCAAATGTTATCATTGCATTATGGGAAAAAAACAAAATTCCAAACTCCTGTGAAACAAAAAGCTTCTTACCTCGTTGGTGTTCCAGCGATGTCTCTCCTTGGGCAGGGAGGAGCATTTGGGAAGGCATTCCAGAAGCTTCTTGGGCAGATAGATTTTCAAATGTCCATGTTCATCTGTGAATGACACAAAACGATTACTGAATATGGAGTGTGAGTAGGATTATTAAAACCAAAGCTGTCCTGCTCTCCAGAGTCTAAAACACTGGGAGCTGTTCTTTTTAAACAAAGATCCAATCATTTCTTTGTAAATTACTGAGCTGTTTGAATTCAGTGTCACTATTGCTTGAGGGACTCCTTTAAGGAAACTTCCATGCCCAGGTGTTACGTTTGCAAATTGCTGTGACAACCTTTTCAGAAATATAAAACTATAAACCAGGCACGAGACCTCAAAGGGGGAGCACTCAGAAAGCAATGAAGAAAAAAAAACTTAAGATGTTACTGTGAAATGAAAGGGAACATATTTAGAGCACAAGGCGTGCAAAAGGCTTTCATCCAGAAATGTTGTGATTTTGTTTTCATTGAGTTTTTTTTAAACGCTCCCGTTCTTCCTCTCTCCCTTATCATGCCAGAGTGCCTGCTCAAATTCATAACAACAAAATTGGGCAACGGAGCAAAAGCATTTCAAGGTTATTGATAACCGTTTGCATCAAGGGCTGAGGCTTCTTAAGGAACTCAATGTTTAGCCCTGTGGGAGAAGGTACTTCCATATTGCATGCTGAGCCTGCTTATGAATATAAAAAAAGCGAGAGAGACTGAAAGAAAAGGAGAATGAGAGACTGACTGAGATTTGTGGAATGTGTCCTCGGTAAAAGACGAGAGAGAAGCGAAAGAGACGCTGCAGATCTGAGCGAGATGAAGCCTGTGTGTCCATAGAGACACTGCTTAGCAACCACTCTCACTCTGGCTTTAAGGACAAACAGATAGCCAGAGGGAAAGAAACACATGAAGAGGGTTAGATCACTCTTATGTTCACTGTCTTACACCAGAACCAATGCATATTATTTGTGCTTTACCTGTGCATGAACTTAAACCCACATAAAAAAAAAATCAATTCCCTGTAGAAAACGCCCAAGTTCAACAAGACTTCTTTCAAATCAACAGAGCAGATCAGATAAACGCAATTGCACCTGAAATATACCCTATACAAGTACCTAAATGCCAATGCTTCTACGTTTGCAAATCAAGTACGCACTGCATTCTCAAAGTTGCCACGAGAGGCACTACAGCACATAAGTCTGCATTTAAAGTGACTTTCCAGCCATGACAATTTGATGAGAATTGCTGTAAATATACTTAATTCAACTTACTAACCAGAATGTCTGAATTTGTCTGTAACAGGGGTGTTTCCTCAGAGGAGGCAAGGCAGGCAGTGTCTCCTCAAAATATTGGATGACAAACAAATTCCGTAGTACAAAAATAAAATAATGCCAATATTACAAAATATAACATTAAAAAGTCTAGAAATTACAAATTTTTCTAAAGAAACATTGTTCAACAGCGACACCAGCAGGTAAAGTTACAGCGGGAGTCCGCCTCCCTCTCGCCTCCCCTGAGCCCATTGCGTTTTAACAGACCACCTAAAACTTGAAATGGGTTTGGTGAGGGGGTAATAGAGAATGAATGGGAGAAAGTCACGTGAGAGGAAGCATTTACTTAGATATAACTACTTTGTTACGTCAAAATAAGACTTAAAATGGCATGAAAACATGATCTGTGGGAGTTTTTAGTAAGTAATCAGTTTGGAGAATTTTAAAGTAATTCTCTGCATCTGTGACCAATATTTACCAAGCTTTGATGACTGATGGTCTGAAAAATTCTAAAATAGTTAAAAGTTAACTATTAAAAAGAACAGCTGAACATAAGTTCACAAATAAAACTGCCTTGAGTTATTATTTTGGAATAAATGTAAAATGCTTAAAAACACTAACTTGAGTCGGTGCTGATAGCCTTGTAGGCAGCGTGCCGACATATAATGCCGCTGCACTACGGGCATCGCGAGTTCAAATCCCAGCTCGAGGACCTTTCCTAATCCTGCCCCCCCATCTCTCTACCACTTTGCTTCACTTCTACACTGTCCTATACTAATAAAATTAAGAGATTCATACATGCCTTTAAAAAAACAGAATATTAATTACATTGTTAATGTAAAATTATGAAATAGAATTGTTTTTTTTATTTATTTTGCTGATAGTGTAAGTAATGTTTATTTACCCAAGGAAATGTGACTGGGACATGCATTTACACTTGTAAAAATAAAAAATAAACTTTGCGGACTTTGCCTCATCAATTCAGAACACCACCGCACACCACTGGTTTGTAAGTATACTGTGACCTTTGTTATTTTTATTGTGTAAAACTTACACTACTGTACTCAATACTGTAAAAACTAAAAGTATATTTCCAGCCTCCAGGCATATTCATACCTATAATGATAACTATAAAGTGTTAATATTCATTCTAACTATAACGATAAACAGCACAAAGGAACAATTTTGTTTTAGAAGGTTTATTTTTTTTTTCAACTAATGGATGATAAATACACTCACAGCCAATCAGAATCTACGTGTTTTTATATCGCTAGAGCATTTAAAGTGGCAGAAGACAAAACTGCAGCGCAATTAATAAACAAAAAGTTGTCATACGTTAAGGTGGATGCCTAGTTACCGCTATAGTAATATTTATAGTTAGCTTTGAATGGGCCTTTATTAGGAATGTCTTTTTCTGGCTCAAGAGATTTTTTATAAAACTTTTAACTTGCTATTAGCCTTGAAATTTATTCTAAATTTCCTAAAGCAAAGCAATTTTTTGTATAAGAATATAAAGGTATTTGATGAACATGAATGGCACAGAAATGAGACTTTTGATTGCAGACTTCATGTCTTGGCAAAGTCTGAGATTACCAGGGCATTTTCCTCAAAGAAAAATCTAAGGACCAGGAGAGTCTTTTAAGTAAAAGTTGACATTTGCTCTCCATTCAATCTCATTGGCGTCTAGGAGAATCTGTTGAGTTTGAAAAGATCTCATTTGTGATTTGCCTTTTTATTCAGCGCCGTCTCTCTCTCCGAATCTAATGACCGTTTCACATTATAAATTGGGAGATCTGTGGCTGTTATGCTTCAGCTAAAGCAAAGATTCAAAAGCAAAACACACAGCACATTCTCATAAGACAATGAATAAATGAGCAGGCTCTCTTGAAAAGTTATTTTCTTTTTCATTCTATGTAACTCAACTGGAATGTGTTATAAAAGAACGAGGCATTAAGAAACTTATTTACAGGGTAATTAAGACTAGACTATATATCCCTTCCTGTTCCTATTCATTATTTCTCATCTCTCCCTTCATCTCCGTCTCTCTTTTTCCCTCTCAGTACATGTTTTGGCAGAACAAGCGAGCGATTCTGAGGACTGCCATTTAGACTCATTGTTCTGCATCAAAGTGAGGGGCTTTTAAATTATGCTGACTCTGACGACTGTGGCTTTAGAGGCAAATTTTAATCACAGTCAGTCGCCGTCTGCCAAGCGCTGCCTTAAGCATTTGCCTTTCTCTCTTTCATGACCGTCTCCCATGAGTAGCCAATGAGACGCAGAGCTGAGGGGAAAAGGCTTAACAACAAAGAAAACGAAAAACAAAACAAGGCTACGAACACGCTGCTAATACTCACACAGATATAAATGTGTGAATGTAGGTGGTAGAGAAAGATAGAACAGAATATTTGCAATTTGCTCCTTCTCATGTAAACAATTATAGGTGCACACAGTCGTACGCGCCCACCATAATTAATTATGAATGTATTAAGATAAATCGCTTCAGTTTCAAACTCTACTGTCATATAAAAACACAGTCACGCTCGACACGAACACCAATCAGCATTCAGCGCAAATGCCAAGGCGCCGCAGCCGCATGTGGCCCTTGTCTAACTGATGTCCGACTCTTGATCTGAGGAGATCTTTGAAAAACACCTATCAAACCTGCCCTTCAAAGTAATGTCAGGCATCAGAGAGTCTCGTCTAAGCAAGGGATACAAAGCTATATCATAACTTAACTCTCAGCGTAAAGAGCTCTTTTAAATTTTCCAGAAACTCAGCCACCATGTCAGCAGCTGTGAGTTGGGCTAAAGTGACTGATAGACTGAAGTCTTTGACAGGAGGCATTGGAGGTCACTAAATACGGAACGTTCTAGGCTGAAAGAAGTGATGAACGTTCCTTCTTCAGCTGAGTGGCGCAAAGGCACTGTGGGATCTCACACTGTCGATAAGCAGCATGTTTGAACAGATCCCGCATGTGGCTTTAAGTGACCCTAATAAGAACAACAACACTGATGGTGACAGAAAAGCCCTAAAGGCAGTGGCTGAGAAGCAGCTTTATTTTCACTGAGAGTGTTTACATGACAAATGAGCTGAAACATACTGCAGATTTCTTTATCCCTTTTGGAATATTTTCACTAAAGGTGATAAACAGTTGGTCAGCGCCGGGCATGGACAAACCATTGGGCTGATTGTGCCATCTAAAATCAGACCTTTGAATATTTTGACAGACAAAACATAAAGTGTTCATATTTTAGACATGTTAGTCACATTAATTGACAATAAAAGGCATCAGAAATGGAAAGTAACAAAAGTTTTAAAGATCCTAATGAAAACAGATTTCATATAACAAAAGAAGGAAAAAAAACAAGAAGCCACGACACAGCACATGGTTGGACTAAAAGTATTAATTAAAATATTTAACTATGATATTCACTGATTTAAAAAAAAGCACAAATGAAACAGACTTCACCCTCCATAAAACCTTTTATATAAAAAAAAAGATAACAAATCTGTATGTACAACTTCCTGAGGTTGCACTAAAAAAAATATCATTATTAATGGATTGTAAAGCTCTATTTTGACCAATTACTACAATGGTTTTTGTGTGTTTTTTTGTCACATTTTATTGTAAGGTTCAATTCTCAATATTAACAAAACATTAACTGAATTTTGCCTCAAACTCCTAATTTGCTACTTTTTAATAGTTAGTAAGGTAGTTAGTTTAGGTATTGGGTAGGATTATGGATGTAGGCCATGCAGAATATGTGCTTTATAAGCTCTAATAAACAGCCAATATGTAAATAATAG